GCTCATCATTGACATATCAAATTATAGTAACTGATCGCATTTAAATGTCAGGCCACATCAAATCACTAATGCTGACACGGTCGGTTCTGATTGGAGGAAACGCACGGCACTCACTTCTGATTGGCCGATGGGATCTTGGACCCAAAGTCGAGCAGAGGTCAGAGAAAGAGGAGATTTGTGGTCTAATGTACCTGGCGAAAGCACAAGCATCCCGCTGTGAGACGTCTGTGCGCTCGCGTTCCCTCAGGCGACTCGCTCTCGTTTTAGAACAGACCGCAATAATTCAATAACCTCACTGGATTCGGTTAAAGATAGCCTGTGTTTGGGAATCTTGGATATATTTGTGATGGGATTTATGTAATAAAAACAAAATGTTCATTCACGTCATAAAAATATAAATCACACATAGAGCACAACAGCAGCTTTCTAGTTGCAAGATTAAACTAAATTTATGAAGATAAAATAACCTATGCCTTTATAATCTATTTCTGTACTATATATAGCTACTGCATAGCAACACCCTGGCAATAACCTACTTTTGTAACTCCCTAGCAACTGCTTGGCAACATGTTAAAAAACACTCTGAATACCTTATTAACTAATAGCAACATCCTGGCAACTACCTACCATAGTAACTCCCTAGAAACTGCATAGCAACACCCTGGCAACAACCTGCTGCAGTAACTCCCAAGCAACTGCATAACAACACCCTGGCAACAACCTGCTGTAGTAACTCCCTAGTAACTGCATAGCAACACCCTGGCAACAACCTGCTGTAGTAACTCCCTAGCAACTGCATATCAACACCCTGGCAACAACTGGTTGTAGTAATTCCCTAGCAACTGCATAGCAACGCCCTGGCAACAACATGCTGCAGTAACATCCTAGCAACTGCATAGCAACACCCTGGCAACAGCCTGCTGTAGTAAATCCCTAGCAACTGCATAGCAACACCCTGGCAACAACCTGCTGCAGTAACTCCCTAGAAACTGCATATTAGCGCCCTGGCAACAACCTGTTGTAGTAACTTCCTAGCAACTGCATATCATCACCCTGACAACGACCTACCATAGTAACTCCCTAGCAAGTGCATAGCAACACACAATGGCAAACACCTACTGTTGTAAATCCCTAGCAACTATATAGCAATGCCCTAGCAACAACCTGCTGCAGTAACTCCCAAGCAACTGCATAGCAACACCCTGTAAACATCCTGCTTTAGTAACTTCCTAGTAACTGCATAGCGACACCCTGGCAACATTCAAATGTAGTAACTCCCTACCAACGCTCTGGCAATGACCCACTGTTGTAACTCCCTAGCAACTGCATAGCAATGCCCTAGCAACATGCTAAAACCCACTCAAAACACCTTAACGACTGCATAGCAACACCCTGGCAACCACTCAAAACACTGGCTGGTATTTTCTGCAAAAATGTGAAACTCTACAGTTTTAATCGTTCAAATACTCTTGTGCAAAAAAAGCTGAGCTCAAGTGAATCAGCATCACGTCACCAGCGTTAATAGACTCCATCGAGCGCTAACATGGTCAAGATGGCACTGGTGAGTCAGGCTCATAAAGCACTGGTTAGTGTCCTGCAGCGAGAGAGAGTGTGTTCATTCCTCTCGCTGAGTGTCAGTCGCTGGTTTGGGGTTCTGGATCACCGCTGTTGTCTAATCTGCATTCGCATTCCTACGGTTCGCTTCAGCTCATCCTTTTTCCCTGAATCCCGCCGGCTCCGTCGGACCCCGGGCTTCCCTCCTCCTCCTCCTCCCTCCCAGGGCCGTGCGTGACAGTAGCTCGCTGAAAAGTGGAAATGGTTCTAGTAAACAGTGATTAGCTCCAGACCGGGATCGGCTCGTCTGCCGTGAGACCTGCATCCACACGCTGGCGGCTGCCAAGTCCTCAACCTTCCCGACCCTCCGGGGTCACGGCCAGCCTTTCACAGCCAGGTTAAAGAGAATAATAGCAGGCAAACACGACAGCCTCACGCAACACACACACACACACTCTCGCCGCAAAGCTGGCTCTGATTAGTGCGGACGCTGATGTGAGAGACCATATGTGAATCACGGGATTCCAGAGGACTCTCCCGTACGGAAAAACGTGATGGGATTTTGGCAGAGCTGAGCTCTGATAGTAACACTGCAAAACTGTGTCTAAAAACCCAGAGCGGTGTCTGAGTCATCAAAATAACATTTGACATTTTATGTTATAATATTAATGATTACAGTGCATTAAATAAAATTACTTAAAATCTAGTCACTGTGGTTTATGATGCAAATATTACAGTCAATCAAAATGTAACGCTTTTAAAAAATATACATATTAAAATGTAATTGTAAGATCTGTGAGATTTTTTTTTTTTTTACTTTTTCAGATTTAAGAAGATAATAATAATATTGTATTTTTATATATGTATGCTTACAGAAAATATCACAAAATTGTAATAATCATTGATTTTTTGGATGATGGTACATTAAAATAATACTGAAAAGCTTTGCAAATATTAAGTCAGTCAGAAAGCCTTGAGCTTTTAAAAACCACATATTAAAAAGTAATTCGTAAAATCTGTGAGAACAACTTTTACTTGTTTTTTTTTTTAGAAGATGGTATAAAATATTTTTATTTTATTATATATGTACTGCTTACACACAGAATATTAACTAATACCACACTAACATTTCAATATTGTTACATCAATTCATGATTTTTGATGATCTAATATAATGGATTACGGTAAATTAAATGATTACTTAAAAGCTTTTGTTGCTGTGGTTTACTTTGCAAATATTATAAATTCAATCAACATCCTGAGCTTTAAAAAAAAATACATTAAAATGCAAGACCTATGAGAACAAGTTTCACTTTTTTAGATGTAAGAAGACAATGGATAACACTTAACTTCAAAGCTTAATAATAATTTTATTTCATAAATAAGTGTAACCAAAGTTAAAATGCATTATAATATATGCATATTCCTTGTTATTCATTAGATGCATTATAAAGAGCGTTTTAAGGCAAAATGTATGCATTAAAATACTTTTATAATGGATTAAACATAAAGGCTTACCACTTTATTTTATTATGTGTACTGATTACACACACAGATTATTAACTGAGTTCATTGACAGTTTAATGCTCACTAGTTCCTCCTCCTCTCTATAGTGTTCCCTGAACAGTGCACAATGAAATCTAATCTTGTTTCTGTGAAGATGTTTATTCTCTCCTAGGGAGCAAAAACAGTGGGCTCCTACATCCAAGTGGATTGGAACTGATTGTATTTGGCAGCTTCTCCTTCCTCTCTTCTCAGGGAAGGAGGCACATCTCATTTTAGTGGTGGTTTGCATCCAGGAACGTGTACTATCAGCAAGAAATAAATGCTACTGTCTCTCTGACTCTAGAAACGCTGCAGCACTGCAATTAGGGTCATTAGATCCCTGCAAAAATAAACTCCTCCTGGTGAGGAAATAAGGAACATTTATCTCCTGCCTGGCGCTCAGAAGAGAAATGTCTTGCATCAAGAACATTCAGTTCTATTGCTTAAAGTCTCGAGATTTCAGAGAACTTCCTTCTCACTGATGAACTAGATAACCGTAACTGCAAATATGGAACTGAAAAAAAAAACAATGTAACTTCCATTTAACGCTCCTGTGATATGAAAGGAAAAATGAAAGCCAATGCAGATACACGTGCACCAAAATAAACTTTTAAAGACAAATGACCCTCTCAGGATATCTAATTGTATGTGCTTTCTTACAGAATAAAGTGTCTGTATTGGTGTATTCTGGGAGAGGGTCTGCTTTTGTGCACATTATGAAGGCATGCATGCAATTAAGCAATCTCTCAATAACTGCATACCCAAAAACACATGTGAAAATTTATCCTGAAATTGTGAGAGGAAAATAGCCGAGAGAGACCCTGGCATGCTTTATGATGAGATCACAGACCCCAGAACATGATGCACCATCGACATGTGAACACAACATCAAATTATGCTCTTAAAGATAATTTACGATCTTTATTGTTTCCCTGTGTTGTAAAATGTTGACATTTGTACTAAAAATCAATTGTTTGTACTCAGAGATCAAATTTGTATTGACATAATGAATTAGGCTATTCTGCAAGGATATTAAATGGTTTATTATAATAACTTTGTGATGGTGCAACAACAATCATCTTATCTTTTTACAATATGCATGAGGAAATGTCATGTATGTTATGACATATGATGCTATTCCATGCTCACATTCATATTCATTATAAATTATATGTATAATGCTACAACGGGGCTAAAGACATAAAATATGAAGGGACACACACAATACAGGGATAGCATGGTTTTTCAATGGCTAGTCGTGTTGCATAACTCCATGCATGCATACTTTTCCATTTTTAGCGTTTATGTAAAGTGGGTCTGCAAAACAAAGCGTCTTTTTATTACGAAACATTCCCCAATACAAAAGTCTGAAGTCTGGGATGCCGTCGATGACTACATCAAGCTTAAAATAACATTTTCGTAATCCTGTGCAAACCAGAGCAGAAATAACGATTGCAAGAGTGCGCAAACGACTAGAAACACACACGTCAAAAAATAAAGAGTTGCAAAGAGTTCAGCTGCAGCAGCAACCTAAAACGTTTAATGCATCACTCCATTTGAGTTTATCACAATATGATGACTGGCACAAACCGCAAGAGTTTTGCACAATTAAGTTTAATGCATCTCCGCAACGAGGATCAGAAATACCCCGCACAGAGCGCGTGCAAATAAAACAAAGATGATTTACGCACTGTTTTCAGACGTTTCTCGGTGAACAGAACCGGTCGCGCACTTGGATCTCCGTGTTCAGCTGCAGCCAGACGTTCAGACCTTCTAACGGAGTCTCTGCGGCTTCCACAATGGGAGGAGTGAGACTATCATCGGGTCCTGCCCCCTGTGCTGCAAACATATATAAAAGACATGGATCCAAACAAGCAGCTCAGAAAACCCTGTCAGCTTAACCTGGGAAATTAAAGAGAGTAGAAAATTCTAAATCAATGCATGCATATTAATTAAAACAGACTGAACTGGCAACCGAGAGAGTTAGTTTACATTAATTGTGCATGCAAAAAGAAGAAATAGATTCATTATTCTTTTAAATGGATGCTTACATTTCTCTCTCTATATAGCATTGAACATGAACATTATTTGAGCAGAAAACAGAATCTCATCAGAAGAATAAAAGTGCATCAGAAGAATGGCTCTGACTGAAGCTGAGTTTGAGAGCAGCAGCATCATGAAGGAATGGGGCGGCCAGATTCAGCCGGCTTTGATAGCATCCTTCATCATCCTCTTCTTCCTGGAGGCCTGTCTTTGGGTCAGAAATCTCACGATCAAGAAAAGGCTTCCAGGCCCGTTCGCCTGGCCCTTGGTGGGCAACGCCATGCAGCTGGGACAAATGCCACACATCACCTTCTCAAAGCTGGCAAAGAAGTACGGAAACGTCTACCAGATCAGACTCGGGCGAAGCGACATTGTGGTTCTGAATGGAGATGCGGCTATACGCAAGGCGCTCATTGAACACAGCACCGAATTTGCCGGGAGGCCAAACTTTGTGTCCTTTCAGATGATCTCCGGCGGTCGGAGCATGGTGTTCAGCAGTTACAGCAAACAGTGGAAGGTGCATCGGAAAGTAGCTCAATCGACTTTGAGAGCATTCTCGTTGGCAAACACTCAAACCAAACAGACATTCGAACAGCACGTTGTAGGCGAAGCCATGGACCTGGTCCAGAAGTTTCTAAGGCTCAGCGCCGACGGACGTCACTTCAATCCTTCACAGGAACTCACCGTCGCCGCCGCCAACGTCATCTGCGCGCTTTGCTTTGGGAAACGCTACGGCCACGACGATCCCGAGTTCAGGACACTCCTGAAAAGAATGGATAAGTTTGGCGAAACTGTTGGCGCTGGAAGCCTGGTGGACGTCATGCCTTGGCTGCAGTCGTTTCCGAATCCGGTCCGAAGCGTTTATCAAAACTTCAAGCTCATTAATGAAGAGTTCTTCGCTTATGTGAAGGACAAAGTGGTGCAGCATAGAGACACATACGACCCTGAGGTCACCCGTGACATGAGCGATGCAATCATTGGCGTAATTGAGCACGGGAAAGAGAGCATGCTGACTAAAGACTTTGTTGAGTCTACGCTACTCTTGCGATATATAACACAGTGTCAAGGCTGAAATCTGCATTCTTCTAATCTGGTCATCTCTGGACAGACACTGCAGCTCCGCAAACCCTGACCCGTCTTCCTGTAACAGAAAGAAAACAGCAGGGTTCTCAAATTCTTCCTTTCTCACCATTCAAGATGGGGAGTTATTAATACTTTCGCAATTTATACAAAAACAAACCTTTAGAGCTTCAGAATATCATGGCGCTTTCAGACACAGAGTTCGGCATGAATGGCAGTAGCATCCTTAAGGAATGGAGTGGACAAATCCAGCCAGCCCTCGTTGCATCTTTCATCTTCCTCTGCTGTCTGGAGGCTTGTTTCTGGGTCAGGAACCTCACTCTCAAAAAGAGGCTTCCAGGGCCCTTCGCTTGGCCGCTTGTGGGTAACGCCATGCAGCTCGGCCAAATGCCCCACATCACCTTCTCCAAGTTGGCAAAGAGGTACGGAAACGTGTACCAAATTAGACTGGGCAGCAGCGACATAGTGATTCTCAATGGAGAATCTGCCATACGCAAGGCGTTGCTTCAACACAGCACCGAGTTTGCAGGCAGACCGAACTTTGTGTCCTTCCAGTCGGTTTCCGGCGGGACGAGCATGACGTTCACCAACTACAGTAAGCAATGGAAGATGCACCGGAAGATCGCCCAGTCCACCATTCGTGCCTTCTCTTCTGCAAACAGCCAAACGAAAAAGTCCTTCGAGAAGCACATCGCAGCTGAAGCCGAGGAACTGATTGAAACGTTTCTGAGATTGAGTTCAAACAACCAGTACTTCAATCCATCTCATGAACTCACAGTCATGGCTGCTAACATCATCTGCGCACTTTGTTTTGGGAAACGCTACGGACACGATGACTTAGAGTTCAGGACCCTCTTGAGCAAAGTGAACAAGTTTGGCGAAACCGTAGGAGCTGGAAGTTTGGTGGACGTCATGCCTTGGTTGCAATCTTTTCCCAATCCTGTGAGGAGCGTTTTTCAGAGCTTCAAAGACCTCAACAAGGACTTCTTCACGTTTGTCAAAGGCAAAGTGGTGGAGCACAGGCAAAGCTACGACCCTGAGGTCACAAGAGACATGAGTGACGCCTTTATTAGCGTGATTGATCATGCAGACATGGAGACGGGCTTGACCGAGGCTCATACTGAAGGTACGGTTTCTGATCTCATTGGAGCAGGTCTGGATACCGTCTCCACTGCCTTGCACTGGATGCTGCTTCTTCTGGTCAAATACCCATCAATCCAAACCAAACTCCAAGAGCAGATTGATAAAGCAGTAGGTCGTGACAGACTCCCATCAATAGACGACAAGAGCAACCTGGCCTACCTGGATGCCTTCATCTATGAAACCATGCGCTACACCAGCTTCGTCCCCGTCACCATACCACACTCCACCACCTCAGACGTCACCATCGAAGGTCTCCACATCCCCAAAGACACAGTGGTGTTCATCAACCAATGGTCCGTCAACCACGACCCTCAAAAGTGGCAGGATCCTCACATCTTCAACCCGTCGAGATTCCTGGACGAGACCGGAGCTCTGGATAAAGACCTGACTAACAGCGTGATGATCTTCTCGACAGGTAAGAGACGATGCATTGGTGAGCAGATTGCCAAAGTGGAGGTTTTTCTGTTCTCTGCCATCCTTTTGCACCAGTGCTCGTTTGAGAGCAACCCCTCTCAGGATCTCTCCATGGACTGCTCGTATGGTTTAACACTGAAGCCGCTCCATTACACGATCTCGGCGAAGCTCAGAGGAAAACTTTTTGGCTTGGTATCGCCAGCATGAGTATGAATAAATAACCAGCTTGTTATTGTGACTAAAGGTCAGCAGAGACTGAACATATTACAAATGTATTCCACATAATGAGTATTAGTAAAGCTGCACTGAATGCTGTTTAGTAATTGTATATTTAATATTTATACACGTTTGCAATGATTCACATCCATAGAATATGTTGTCAGGTAACTGAAGAGATTCTTCAGCTCTTAACAGTAATGTTTTAATTGCTTTATGTTTATAAAACACCATCTATGCTTCAAAATAATGTTAGAAGGACTGCAATATGAAAAGTTTATGGTCCAATGCTAAGCCACTATCACTGTAGACATATCAGTTATTATGTAATATTATGCAATTGTTTGTAGATCGTGTTGAGTCATGTTAATGGACAGCAGCTGTTGGAGAACTTTTACTTCCTATGAGCTCGACTTAGATTGGCATCGCAGTGCATTTAATTATGCTTGCATAAAACTGTATAACAATGTGATTATGTACTTCAGGTGTTCTAAGTATTAGGCATTTACTTATACCCATTATGCAACTGTTTATATAAATTATATTCTTTATAAAATGCATATACATTTCTTAAGAGTCATTTGTTGAAATAACAGTAGTTTTAGTGACATGCCAATTTGCAATCAATGCTTTGCTGAGTCTGTTCTATTGCTCAGCGAATCACCCAATGAAGTCTTAAGCATCACGCTGGATGAACTATCAGCTTCCTCATTATGTCATTTTGAAGGTTCTCCCACATGCACAAAACAAATCCTCAAAATCATGTATAAAACCAGCAGCATAAATTAGAGCTACTATCTCAAGATGTACTCCTATATCACATTGCATTTATTATGATAAATGTTTACACTGAATGTTTTGCAAGCTCTGTAACTGAAGTGCATGTATTCAGGAATACAGCTTTTTTGAAAGAAAAAAAAACTAGATTTTTTTTAATGTTCAGGTATTGTTTTAAATGTTTTCTTTGTACTATTGGAAAATAAGCTACAAGTGGAATAAATAAAGTGCTGTTTTACAACCTGTGAAGATGCACTCTTTCTGTTTCTGTTTTGACCCTCAACATGATTCACATTTTATAAGAAAATACATGCACATACACACATACAAACATACAATCAAATATGAAAGTTAAAAGACTAAACCAGCTTGGCATCCAAATTTACTGTCTGAATGGTCTGCATCTGTCTTCACTTATATTGTCTCTATATATCCTTATTGTTAGTTTTATGGCCAATATTTCTGTTTGCATTCAGTTTCTGAGATATTTCTGTAAAGCCACATCTTTAAAGTCAAATTATCTTATTAAATTTATATAACAGTCATTATTCTAACTACAGCTCATGATAAATGCACTCTCATGGTACATATTTAACTCCATTGTTTGTATCTGTTTTTTGTCTGACAGATTTAAAAAAAAAACTCTTTCACGAGCTTACAGAGTGAATTCCTCAAGTGACTTGATTTCACTAGCATTCAGTTGGCATCACTTTGTGGATTCCAAACAAAATGAAATCACACCAATTAGAGCAGACTTACAGAGCTCATATATGTTAGACAATGTATTCTGTAAAAAGTAAAACGACAGCATTTTTATTTTTATGGTTTCATTCATCTTAATCAGACATTTCAGCCCTTTATGGTAAGACAGACAAAAAAATAGATCTCTTATAAATATATAGAAAGCAACAGCCATCATTAAATGAAGGCCCACATCCATTTAGCCTAATATGTTATTTTCTTACTCTGTCATACATACAGATATAGTGCCATGAAAATGCATTTAAACAACTCAGTAAAACAATATTTGAGTGAATTATATAAACTATAAAAGTATGCATCTGTATCTGCATTTCAAATGCTGCAATGAGGAACATCTCACTCATGCTCACTTTTCTTCATCATGTTTGAAGTCTCAATGTGCTTTCTCCTCAAGTTCACGCAGGTGTCTTAGCAGAGGAACCACAGGTGTAGAGAAACAACTAAGATCCACTAACCGCAAACAAATACAATGCTGACTGACTTCCAGTTCAACATTGCATCTATTTACAGTTTAAACTTTAATGAACTGCAAAAATGCTCTTAATTCTCTCAAATAAATGACACTCGCTTTGGTATTTTGCTATCTCATGCAATACATCTAATGCATACTGCACTTGTCTAAAGCACTATGCATCTGTAGATGGCTCAAGAACGTGTTGGGAGTCCAATGTGTGTCCAGGCGTCTGCTTTCCGGCCGTAATGGGTGGAGAGTCAGAGAGAGTCGGGGGGAAAGAAAACGAACCTATGGACCAAACTCCTCCTACTCTTGCGATATATAACACAGTGTCAAGGCTGAAATCTGCATTCTTCTAATCTGGTCATCTCTGGACAGACACTGCAGCTCCGCAAACCCTCTTATGGGTTAACACTGAAGCCATTTGGTTATAAAATCTCTGCCAAACCCAGAGGAAGCGTATTTAATGAAGAATAAATTAGTGTGTGTGCTTTCAAACCCACTGTCTCTGATATATTACACTATGCAGAATAAGGTATGTACTTCATATTTAGCAACACTGAACTTCAGATATAGTATATACAGTAAATATAGTTCACTATATACAAGTGTAGATGTATGACTAAATCAATGTATGACTAAATCTAAATGTTTTGAAATCAAAAGTAACCAAAGGAAAAGAGCCAAAAGGAACAAAAATGGTGTCAGCAAAGTTTTATAGGACTTTAAATTGTGTGCTTAAATTTATTTTAAAATGTGCTACTTTTGAAAATGACAGTTTCTAAAAAATAATAATAATAAATAACAAATCTATCCCATATACTGTATATAATTAAACTTCTGGTCATTAAAAGAGCAATTGCTTTTAGTAAATAAACAAAGGAAAAGCAAGATAAATGCCATGTTTAATATTGATTTAATGCTAAAATCCGATGATTAATTCGAATTTTCAAAAGCCTGTCATTTTTAAAAAGATGTTGAAAAATGATTAATGAATGTGACTTAAAACTGTTTTTATTGATGTAAATAAAATGCATTGTTGACCACAACAGTGTGTATTTCATGAAATTAAATATTTATATTCATGCTCACTAAGTTGCTCCAGTCACGCAAATACAGTCACGCTTTGCTGGCCACATCTGCTGGTTTGCTGTACAAAAACACATACATATTAATGAAACGCTGTTTGTCGGTCATGTAAATTAGAGGTCTAAATGTATTTGCTA